CGCTGATGCTTAATGCCCCTGCCATGGCAGTGTCTACAGGGAACAAGGGGGGCCACTAGCCACTGTAACTTTACCTATTGAAGGACACCCTACTACTTTCCTGGTTTCCTGGTTAACACAGGTGCATCCCGCAGTGTTCCTAGAGAACAAGACCTGCCTGACTCATCGTTCCTGCCTGACACCGATGTCTCTTGTGTTGGTGCTGATGTCCTATCCTGCCTCCAAGCATCCATCACCCTCACTGCAGACGGCCAGGTTCAATTAAATACACCTTTGTCACGAAAAGACACTACAGTTCTTTGTTCCCTTCCCATTTTACTGTGGAGATGATCTACCCACAACAGAACAATGCTCAATTAATCTTCTTTACTATCTAGCAGAACAAGGATGTGAAGCTTCACGTCTCAAGCTGCAATTCTGCCAACCTACTGTTATCTTCCTTGGCCATTGTCTGTCTCAGGGAACCAGACATCTCACTCGTGACCGAGTTAGAGCAGTACTGGACATTCCACCTCCAAGGACCTCAAAGTCACTACACGCCTTCCTAGGCCTCATTTCCTATTGCCGAGCATGGATCCCAGAAGCCTCACTCCTTATGCAACCTCTTTAGGATGCTCTCAAGTCAGACCCATTTTGCTTGTTCACAGAAGCCCTTGATAACTTCTGTTCTCTCAAACGTGCTATTGCTTCTGCTCCTGCTCTTGGCTTACCAGACTATACCAAACCCTTCAAATTGTTTGTTTCTGAAAGACAAGGCCATGCAACAGGAGTGCTCACTCAGGCCCATGGTCCTGGAGGCCGCCAAGGGCCTATTGGATTTTTCTCCTGCCAACTGGATATTGTGGCCAGAGGACGTCCCTCTTGCCTTCGGGCCGTCTTTGCTGCCAGAGAGCTCATTGAAAGAACTGGGGATCTTGTCCTTGGCCACCCCCTGGTTGTCTTGGCCCCTCATGATATTTCTGCCATAGTCAACCAGGTCCAACTTAAGCATGTTACTCCTGCTAGGCATCTTCGCCTTCAATGTCACCTTTTGTTGCCTGACAACATTACCCTTCAAAGATGTCAAGTTCTCAATCCGTCCACTCTTCTGCCACTCCCTGAGGGGGGTGTATACTACGGATTCATCATGGACAAAACTTATGTTTTTCTTCTCACTGGCACCATCAAGAAGGAAATGCATCCCAACCTATCCTTTCATGATGGACAAGCACTCCTTCATGACGGAGCAGGATATGCCTTCTGTACCATGTGGTACAAACCAAACATCACTCCTGAACCCTGCTATGAAGATGAACACTATCATCTGGTTGAAGTAAAACTCACTGCACAAGACTTCTACTGTAATTCTGAAGGCAACAGTATGGTCTTGATTCATCTACCTCCGGAACTCAAGCATTTGTACCGTCATTGGGACACTGCCATTCCACATGTCCCTGTGACCAAGTTGAAAACAATATCATGGAATGATCTTGGGCCTATGGCAAAAGTATGGGCCACTATGGACGAATCACAGCTACAGGAAAATGGTGTTGTCAAATATCCAACAACTGACCACCTAAAAGCATGGCCACATCATTTCCTGGAAAATGAGTTCCAAGATTGAACCATAGTAAATGACTACGACCCAAATACACCTCATGACTGTTTTGAACAGATGAAAATGGAAACAACACATCTATCAACTGTGCATGAAGACCCATTGGTAGATCCCGATCTCACCCTGTTTGTGGACGTTCAAGATATGCTGATGAAGAAGGAAGATACCACACAGGATATGCCGTAACCACAACAGATGAAGTTATCAAGTCATCATCTTTACCACCAGCAATGTCTGCGCAAGAAGCTGAATTACAAGCCCTGTCTTCAGCATGCAAAATCTCCGAAGGAAAACGTGCCAACATCTACACAGATTCAAGATATGCCCTAGGTGTGGCACACGACTTCGGCCTCATATGGAAGACAAGAGGATTTCTTACTACTGCCGGCACACCAGTCAAACACAGCTCTGCAATCAAAGAGCTAATGGATGCCCTCCTACTCCCTGAAGAAGTGGCCGTATTGAAAGTCAAGGCACATGGAAAGTTGGATACAGATGAAGCAAGGGGCAACCATCTGGCTGATCAGGCTGCTAAGCAAGCAGCAAGAAATTTGCAGGAAGTGGACGAAGAAGTGTCCGGTCAAGAAGAAGTTCCTGTTTTTACTTTACAGACCCTTCCTACTGATCTAAGGATTTTGCGGGAACAGCAAGCCGCAATTACCCCTGAAGAGATCCAGAAATGGAAGAAGAAAGGGGCTGTCTTAAAGGACGGAATATACTATAACAATTTCAAATTCTGCCTTCCAAAAAACTTATACCCAGCAGTTGTCCAATGGGCACACGGACCAGCACATCTGTCAAAAGATTTAATGGCCGCCCTCATCCAGAAGTATTATGAAGCCCCTGGAATAACAACATTGATCACTAACTTCTGCAGGGTTTGTGCCATTTGCGCAAAATGCAATCCAGGGAAGCCAATCAAAGTGCCTACAAAACATCTGGCTAAGCCCATGTACCCATTCCAGAGAATTCAAATTGATCATATACAAATACCCAAGAGCGGGCCCCATGAATATGCACTAGTGATAGTGGACATGTTCTCAGGCTGGCCAGAAGCCTACCCAGTAGCCAATATCACTGCCAAAACAACAGCAAAACGTCTACTTACAGATGTTGTATGTAGGTTTGGACTTCCAGAAGTTATTGAAAGTGACCAGGGCCCAGCCTTTACAGCAACAGTGACTAAAGAGATTTGGACTGCTCTAGGGGTGACCCTAGCCTTTCACACCCCTTACCACCCACAAAGTAGTGGGAAAGTGGAACGCATGAACGGCACCATAAAAGCCAGAATGCTTAAAATGTCACAAGAAACAAAGATGCCCTGGCCAGAAAGTCTACCAATAGCTCTATTTAGTGTTAGGCACACACCTGGAGGGAAGCATTCACTATCCCCATACGAGATTCTATTTGGGACCGCACCCAGACTAGGTTGTTATTATCCACAACAGTTACAGCTTCAATCTGATGTTTTAGTAGACTATGTAATTGAACTTGCAAGTGCCTTGAACAAAATACATGCCCAAGTTTTCTCTTCAATTCCAGATCCCGATTTGGATACAGGTACCCATAGCCTGCTTCCTGGAGATTGGGTTCTGGTCAAGAAGTTTGTGCGGAAACATACCTTGGAACCAAGATTTGACGGGCCATTCCAAGTTCTCCTAATCACCGCAACCTCCGTCAAATTGGCCGGCCGGCCACATTGGATCCACGCTTCCCATTGTAAGAAAGTACTTGCCCCAGAGGAAGCTAGTACCGCACCACCATGTACCTCTGGTACAGTATCTTCTTAATCAGCTTAATTAAAGCTCAACAAGTAGCCATCACTAAAGATGCTAGTGGGTACACCTTCTGGTATAATTCATCATGTACCCGTGTGGCTACTTATACTTTTGACTACTGTGACATCGTAGAATGCCCATTCCCCACGTCACAGATTCAGAATATCTATAGAGATATCCCTCATTCAAAAGACCCCTATGTTTGTGTAGTTGACAAACAATGGGGGCACAACTGTAACCATTGGGGGGCGGCGGGATGGAATGCCGGGCCTGCCTGGGGTTACAAACCAAAAAGTGCCTTATCTAAAATTGATGATCACGGTAGGTCCCTCCTCCAGAGAATGACTCTAAGAAAGCCCGGAGGAGGCATACCTATGAAATTAATCTTAAACATTGAGCATCCCAGCCCAACGGATGCAGACCAGTATGTAATGGGAATGTACTGGAAGAAGGGTTCCTATAATAAATTAGGACATTTCCACCTTAAAGATATGTGCCACTCTCCTGAGTGGAAAGGGACCACCCACATGGTCTCAAATCCGTTGAAACCACACATCCAATCTTTTAAAGACATGATGGCCATTGCAAATCCAACATTTGAAGATACCATGGCCGCTGAAACAGGTTTCAATGATGTTAATCTATGGTTAGAATGGATGAAATATAATGCCAACAAACATAACAGAACCGCATGCTATGTGTGTGGTGGTGCCCGGCCGCACCTGGGCACTGTGCCTTTAACTTTGCCAGTAGATATAGAAGAATGTGTTCTGAGTCTTTTTGCCTATCACTACAATTTCAATAGGTCCATATGTAAAGCATGGACAGTAGAGTATCCTCTTCTAGTCAAAGATTGCAAACCCCCAGATGGTGTTACCGTCTATAAAGGTAATTATACCTGTTATGCTAATTATGATGGAATTGGTAAATTTGTGGGTAACTTCTCTAAAGGTTATTGTGCCACCTACAGAACTGTCTCTATGAACCTCCTACAATTCCACACTAGATCATTGGGGGATATTTACTGGTTGTGTGGGGATCTACAGCTGAGATCAAGAATGGATAAAGAATGGTGGGGGGAGTGTACTCTGGCTAAAGCAATCATGCCCATACATATTATCTCTGACACACACCCCGATACTCATGAGTCCAAACACTCACCAACCAAGGTAAAGCGTGAAGCCCCAGTAAAAGGCAGTTTTGACCCTCATATTTACATTGATGCCATTGGGGTACCTAGGGGGGTGCCCAATGAGTTTAAAGCCAGGGATGAAGTTGCTGCAGGATTTGAATCACTTTTTACCATAGTCACTGCAAACAAGAATTTAAATTGGATAAATTACATCTACTACAACCAACAACGGTTTGTTAATTACACCAGGGATGCCCTTCAGGGTTTGGCCGAACAGCTGCAGGCTACGTCCCAAATGTCATTCCAGAATAGAATGGCTTTAGATATGATTCTAGCCGAAAAAGGAGGGGTATGTAAAATTCTGCCTGACACCATGACATGTTGTACTTACATCCCAGAAAACACAGGCCCCAATGGTAAAGTAACCTTAGCTATAGAAAAATTGAAAGAGCTCTCTGAGGAGCTAAAGAGGAACTCTGGGATAAAAGATCCCTGGGAGAGATGGTTTGGTTGGATGACAGGATGGCAAAAAGCTTTGATGCATATTGGTATAGCAATACTAATTTTCCTTTTTATCTTTGCTCTTCTCGTTTGTTGTGTCCTCCCTTGTCTGAGAAAGCTCCTCTTGAAGACTGTAGACCAAGCGGCACCCACTTACGCACACCTCACAGTTGATGACCAAGATTTCCAAAAAGTCAACTCTCCCTGTATACCGCTACAATCTATCCCGTTTATTGATAGAGTGCAAGAGTTCTAGGAAGGGACCAGCTTATGGACAGCATCTGTCTGTCTGGGAAGTCTACCGTGCGGAGATGTGGTGGGTTAGCCACCTCGGGATACCCATGGAGTGAAGTGTTCGAGTGCCCAGCGGACAGATGAGTTAGCCAATTAGGGACAGACGAAGGGACAGCTTTGCACTTTGCAATAACACCTAGCTAGCGGGTCACGGGGTTTCTGTGCCTTTGGGCTAACACGTCTTCTGATACTAACAAATAAAGATTATCTTTTAGAATCTAACATTTCATAGGGGGGACTGATGTAGAATTATTAAAATCTTTACTGAACCTGTATTGAATTATTGTACTAACTCCATTTTAATCTCACACTGTGACAGAACTCTCCATTTTGTTCACCTTACATGACAGTATTCAATATAATGAATAAGAGATTGTATTTTCTCTCTCTAAGGACATAACTAGCCCCGGAGTTAGCGGATCTCCGTTGACTTGCAACATAGTATAATCCAAGGCCAGGAGAACAGCGACAAAATGAAATGTTCTATTCATAAAAGAACCTTGGAACAGACCACGAGACTGACATCACTAACTACGTAAAATGACGCCCAAGCCCCCCTTTCCACCGAGTAAGCCTCGTGCTAAAGAGCAATGGCGACGACATCCCATGATGGGAGGGTGCCTCACTAGTCACTCAAATCTCTGAGCCAATTAATAATATTAATGGGTGGACACTGACATAGCCACTTAACATTTAACCCAATTAATGATGTTTATTTGTTATTATCTGATATTCAATGATGATGTCATTTTGCATATAAAAAGGCCTGCGTGCCCGCTTTTTAACTAGATGCTAATAAATTTCCTGAAGTGTTTTTAACCTGAACTGCATGTGTCAGTGTGAACTTACTTCTGCGTATACGCAATTTATTCATCTCAGATTTGGACAGGAACAGATAGACTTTTAAACATTTTTGTTTATTTCTAAATTAATCTACATCAGGAGCACCATCGGAAGGGGAAAAGGTCATCCAGAGCTGTGTATTCCTCTTGAGGTACCGTGATGTTGAGCACTTCGCACTTGGATAAATTAAGTTTAAGACCAGAGATCTTGCCAAAGCATTCGAATGCCGCCAATAGGCATGGCATCGTGATTCTCGGTGATGTTACGTAGAATAAAAGGTCATCCGCGTACGCGGCCACCTTATGCTCTACCTCTCTCCAGGAATATCCCCGAATGTCTGGTTGCTGCCTGATGGTGTGGAGTAAGGGCTCCAGGGTCATAGCAAAGAGCAATGGGGATAGGGGACATCCTTGGCGTGTGCCATTTGAGATCTCAAAGTCTGCAGTGAGTGCGCCATTCACCCTCACCGCCGCCCGAGGTTTGTTGTATAGTACTTTGATCCACATGAGGAGCCCCTGTCCCATTCCCATTTTGTTCAGCGTTGCTAACATGTAGGGCCATTTCACCCTATCGAACGCCTTTTCGGCGTCTGTGGAGAGGAGGAGGAGGTGTTCTCGTGTTTTCCTCACACTATGTTGTATCGCGAACGTCCGTAAGGTGCTGTCTCGCGCCTCCCGTCCTGGGATAAATCCGGTTTGGTCTACGTGTATCAGAGCTGGTAGGATAGATTGGAGTCTAGTCGCCAGAACTTTCGTGAACAACTTAGTGTCCACGTTCAGCAGGGAGATAGGGCGATAGTTGCCGCACTCCGTCAGGTCCCTCCCAGGTTTCGGTAAAACAGTTATTATGGCTGCTAGGGATTCTGCCCCAAAGTTCCCCCCATCTGAGAGTTTGTTGATAGCCTTTGTTAGCCATGGTAGTAATATCGATGTAAAGGTTTTACAATATCCTTGGAGAAGCCATCCGGGCCTTGTGCTTTACCAGTTTTGGTTGATTTCAGGGCTGCGGTGATTTCTTCTATTGTAATCGGGGCGTCCAATATTTCTGCCTCTTCTGGGCTGATCGTTGTCGTGACCACCTCTTCCAGGTATTCCCGTATTCGGGTGTTTTCCGTGTCCATCTCGTCTCGTCTGTCACGCGTGTGTATATTGTAAAGTGTCTGGTAGTATTCCCGAAATTCCTCTGCTATTTTGTTCGGGAGATTCGACATGGCTCCTGTCAAGAGACGCAAATTACGTACCTGTGTGTGTGGTGTGTTTCCTTTCAGTAAACGTGCCAAGTACCTTCCCCCTTTGTTGGCGTGTGCGTAGAAGAACCCCTTGGATCGCTGAATCGATCGGAGGTATCGTTTCGTTAGGATGTCCTTCAGGCGCCGTCTGGCTTGCATTAGTTCTCCGTATGTCTCCATCAGTTGGGATCGCTTATGTCGTTGTTCCAATACCTCGATCGTTTTGTAAAGTTCTGCCATCTCTCGTGTCGCTATCTTTTTCTTTTGAGAGGCGATTCGGATGAGCGTACCCCGGATAACACTTTTATGCGCCTCCCAGATCGAAATTGGGGAGGTCCCCTGCCCATCATTGTCCTGAAAGTAATGTTCCAGTGCCTGGGAGACCTGTTCGCGAACTTCTGGGTCGAGAAGGAGGGCCTCATTGAGTCTCCATGTCCACTTAGAGGGACGAAAGAGCGGAGATTTTAATTCGATCGTTACCGGGCCATGGTCTGACCATGTTGCGGGATCTATCTTGGCGGATAGCAGCCGCTGGAGGCCCACCTGTCGTATAAAAATGTAGTCTATCCGGGAATACCGATCATGCAATGCAGAGTAGTAAGTAAAGTCTTTGGTGGTTGGATGGAGGGTTCTCCAGCAGTCCACCAATTCCATGTCTCCGAGGGCCCTCTTCATGGATCGTATATGGAGTTGTGGGATGCTGCTATGTCCTGTCGAGGAGTCCATAATGGGGTCTATTGGGGCATTAAAGTCTCCCCCCAGAACTAAGGTACCCTCCGAGAAGTCGCTTAGTTTAGTCAGCGCTTTCCTGAGAAACTGAGCCTGTCGCCGATTAGGTAGGTATATATTAGCAAAGGTGTAGAGCATGCCTGCTATGGTTCCCTTTACATATAGAAAGCGACCCTGTCCGTCCAGCATGCTGTCTAATCCCTGGAATCCCAGATCAGCCGCCACCAGGATAGCCACTCCTGTCTTGCGAGCCGTTGGATGATCACAGAAATAGTTTGCTGGGTAGAATTTATTTTGTAGCTTGGGTGCAGCGTCTTTTCGGAAGTGTGTTTCCTGTATCAATGCCACTGATATGCGGCGTTTCCTTAGTTCCCTGAGCAAGTGGGTTCGTCTTTCCGGTATATTTAACCCTCTACAGTTAAGGGTGAGGACAGTCAGGGGAGCGGGGCAATATGCATCAGCGCTCCGATGCTCGTCGTTATTATTCATTGTTGCGTCTGTGGTTCCCCCTTTCCTCCACTCCATTTCCCCCCCCACCTACACCAAGGAGACACCCGCGGGGTCTCGTTCACCCGACTCAAACCAGGGGTTCGGTGAGAGAGCCAAAACCGGACCGGTCCAGGGACAGGGTAGGTTAGGTTGCGCGCAGTGATGGAAGCGGTGGAATGGGGAGAGGAGAGAGAGGAGAGAAGAACCAATAAAAAAAAAAAAAAAAGGGGGGGAGGAAAGAAAGAAAGAATAAAGAGAAAGTTTTCTATTGCTGCAGGTTCCTAGGTATGTCTCGATTATGCCACCTCCTTTGTGAAGGTGCCTCGTGCTACGACAGAGTATGTCGGGGCCCCGCCCCGGTAACCAGACCAGGTGTCGGGGGAACCCAAGGCTCCGCCGTCCAAAGAGAAGCACGAGTGTGGTGTGAGGTGCGTGGTCCGACCCCGATCTACAGTGTAAGTGTTAGTGGGTTAGTGGTTCGTCTCCCCACACCGCCCCCCATCCAATGCAGTTTATTAATGTCATGTAGAGCGATCCAATTCCATATATAACATTAAGAGTTAACAGTGTAACTAGGTAAACATATATACATTACAGTAAATTTGCTGTACCTCGGTTCCCCCTTCACTACCCCCCGGGAATAGTCCTCACCTATTTCAGCATTTTATGACCTGTTTCCCCCACCCCACCTCGTTCTATACCTTCATATCGTCACCTCTTCTCCCTTTCCCATATCCCCATGCCCCGTTATACATGTTGAGAGCATTTCAAGATTCCGCCTGATCTCATCCCCTGTATTTTCCAGTCACCTGACCCCAACTATAGTACGTTTTACTTTGAAGTGTCATGGGAGCCAGGATCAGAGTCCGATAAGTGGGTTAGGGTGGTAAGTAGCCCGGGCTGAGGGTTAACTAGGGGTACATCCGTTATCGTGGGATCTATTATTTGGCTATATGGGGCTGATGGCATGTAAGGTAGCGTGGGGACATTTACCCCCAGGGGTTTCATGTCAACTAGGTGAGAATTGGTTCGTCCCAGGTGCTATCATATATATTAACTATGCAGGAACTACCCATCCTCCCTGTGTGGCGACTTCACCCTTGCACTTCCCCCCAAACCCGTGGCTTCTGTGGAGTCCTTTGCTGCGATATTTCTCTTTCCCTAATGGAGTCCCAGCATTGGTCAGTCCCAGGGCCGGACTGGGGATACGAAGCAGCCCTGGAAAAAATCTATGCCAGCCCCATAAGTCATTGTGCTATGTAGGGTGTGTGTATGTATGTATGTATATGTATATATATGTATGTGTGTGTGTGTGTATATATATATATATATATATAGAAACTATACAATTTCTGGCACTCTTCCCAAATAATAATACATACCAGGTGCTTCTCTGTGCAAAATTCTATAAACAAAGCAAAAAATGAGAGCACTCCATGGATTTGGTAAATCAAATTACTGTATTCAAATAGCACACAAAAAAATCATTTTTTTGTGTGCTATTTGAATACAGTAATTTGATTTACCAAATCCATGGAGTGCTCTCATTTTTTGCTTTGTTTATATATATATATATATATATATATATATATATATATATATACACACACACACAATTGAAATAGTTGGCTGCACTCTCGGATTTCCTGAAAACGTAACTTTTATTGAAATATTTAAGAGAAGATTAACGTTTCAGTCCCTCTTGTGGACTTTCGTCATGATCCTGACGAAAGTCCACAAGAGGGACTGAAACATTGATCTTCT